ACTGTCTGATTCCCAGGCTAGCCCACATTTAGCCTCCATCAGTTCTAGTGTGTTCTGTCCAGGTGAGCAAATCTCAGCTGTGACTCTCCAGATTCACCTGTCTCTCCAGACTTTGAGGTTGCTCTTTGCCCTACACCCTCAACTCCCTGGTGGCTGAAAGGAAAGCTGTTGATTTTCAATTTGTTCAGCTTGTTCTTGTATGAACAGGAGTGACGACTTTTACACTCTTTATCAGGGATGAAACCTCATGTGTCCTCTGTATAATTTTAGTCCTTTCCAAATTGTTGAAGTATGTTTTATAGCCAAGGATACAGTCTATCCCGGTGAATGTCCCATGGACATTTTTGGGGGGTGGGAAAGTGTATTCTGCTGTTGTTGGGCGGAGTGTTCTATATACATCAATTAGATTCTTTTGTTCAATTGAGTTGTTTGGTTTTTCTGTACCTTTGCTGATTTTCTGTCTGCTAGTTCTGCCAGTTGCTAAGAGTGGGATGTTGAAGTATCCACTCTAATTGTGGATTTGTCTATTTCTCCTTTCAGTGCTCTTATTTTTTAAACAGCTTTAATGAGATGATTCACATGTCATACTGTTTAAAGTGTACAATTCAGCAGTTTTTACTATATTCATGGATATGTGCAGCCAGCAGCACAGTCCATTTTTTTTTTTTAAAGATTTTATTTATTCATTTGAGAGACAATGAGATAGCATGAGAGGGGGGAAGGTCAGAGGGAGAAGCAGACTCCCTGCCGAGCAGGGAGCCGGATGCGGGACTCGATCCCGGGACTTGAGGATCATGACCCGAGCCGAAGGCAGTCGCTTAACCAACTGAGCCACCCAGGCGCCCAGCACAGTCCATTTTAAAATATTTTTCTCACCCTATAAAAAACCTTGTATGCTCAAGCTATCACTCTCAATCCCCCCATACCCAGCATGAAGCAAGTACTTACTTTGCCTCTAGAGATTTCTCTGTCCTGGTCCTTTGGCTAGGGGGAAAAGGCTTTTCTTGGAGATTTTTTTTTTTTTAACCTGTGCTGTTGGTGGTTCTGGGTTTCTACAAGCATCCTATCTAGCTTATCAGGGAGGCAGTAAGAAAACCTAGGGAACTCACCACTGCTGTGTTGCCCCTCAAGTCCCAAGGTCCCTAAGCTGTCCACCTTTTATCTATTCTTCAGAGCCTTCCTATACTTGTTTGTTGTGTTATGGCCAGTTTATTGTGTTTTAATGTAAGAGGAAGGACCTGGAAGAGCTGGACTACTCCATCTTGGCAGAACCAAAAGTCCCCACCCAAATACATTTTGCCCCGAAAATCCAAAGGGACCCACAGTGTGTATCTGTTGCTTCATAGTGCAGTTTCAGATGTCACTCTTCTGAAACTTTACCAATGCAGCAGACACCTGACCTTTCAGAGGATTTGGAGGATTTCTCTCTCACCTCTAGTAGGCATGTGTCATACTAAGTATCAAGTGTGTGTGCCACTTCCCCTCATCTATACATACTTTTGTGTCTTGGTGAAGGAAATGCCTTCCTCGCTCTCCCAAAGATTTTCAGGAGGTGGCTGAGCAAGCTGCACCACATTGGATCCACTTCAAAGTTCCCATTTCTCTAAATCTTTGATCTCTTCCCTCTAGAGTGTGCAGTGGGAGTTTCAGCATCGCTGTCCCCTTGCCTGTAGGCCTTTACCGACTCAGGACTTCTGTCAACCGTAACAGGTGCTCAGGCTAACACGTTAAATCCTGAGGCATATGTGAACACTCTCGTTGGCCTGATCCAACCTTAGATTTAGTCTTGCTGGCTAATTTACTTAGAATCCATTTGCATGCTTGCTCTCCAGGCTCCTGCTAATAAAATTTGGCAAGATCCTGCCACTTCTTGGTGTATATTCTCTCCCCCAGTAGCAGGCCTTGCAATGAATTCTCTGGATCGTGCTGGGATTTTACACCTTTTGTGGCCCTAGAGACAGTGACTGTTGGTGGTGGGCTCTGAAGAGAATAGGCATTTCCTTTTTAGGTGAACACCCCAGATGAAGTCAATGAGATATTGTTATGCAAGGAAATGCTTGTTGTGTCAGAAGGTAAGAAAGGCTATTTCTGATGTGAAGAAATGTTTAGAGATATTAGAATTTCAAGGTTCTTAGCTTTGTGTCTGGACAGAGCTGTCAATTTCAAGTCTCAAGGTCCTACCCCTTCCCAGCCAGCACCTTTACCTTAGTATAAGAGACTCCACATAAAGGTACTCTTGCCCAGATGGCATGGGTTCTGCACGCTGTATGTTCAGGCTTCAGACATGTCTGTTGCATAGCTTCACAAAATAATTCCTTTAGAGCCACCACAGAAATGTTGACTCTCTACCTATGGCTTGAGTTGAGAGTTCAAGCCACTGTGCTTAATTGGGGGTGGGGATGGAGATGGGGGCGGGGAGCGATCATCTCATTAGCCGTCAGCAGAAACCATCTCATGCACAATCTCTGAATTCACTCTGATGCCGTAACAATCAAGTACCACAGCCGCTTGACCTCCCAGCGCCTTACCCTCCCTTGGCAGTCTGCTTAAGTGATACTTTGAGTGTTCGTGATGCCACACCATACTGCATGCTAGCAGTGTCCCATTTTTCCCCAGTAAGAAGGCCATTCATGCACTGACCAACCCAATTCCAGAATTCCATCTGGATGGACTGTTTTCTTAGGCCCCTTCTTGTAACACTTACTAAATCAGTTGGGAAACTGGCTGGAAAACACACATTAGCTGGGATTTTGAAGAGAAAAGAATGGAGAGGGACTATTTGCAGAAGCTGAGGCAGGATTCAGAGCACCCACAAGGATGATAAAGCCCCTGGAAACTTACAACAGTAAAAAGCTTTACCATCCTTATCCTCTAGGCCTGAAGGACAAGGGGCTCTGGAGGCTGCTGAGAACCAGAGCCAACAGAAGGACTGCCCAGTAGGAGCTGTAGTCAGAGAAGTAGAGATGGAGTACAAATTCTCAATCTTTCCACAAAAGCAAAGAGAAAACCAGCAAAAATGGTCACAATCAAATTTTCCAGAACTCTGGAAATTAACAAAAGCCTTAAACAGCAATCTGGCATGCATTTACTCAAGAAGAGTGGTGAAATCTCAGAACAGAGACCTTTGTGTTATGATAAGCTCTCATAGCCCCATCTTGTAGTCTTAACCTTGAAAAGTCAGAATCTGCAATCACAGGTAAAACCAGTCTTCTGGCAGCAACTGAAAAGGGGCAGAAGGGGGCTAGGGCTTCTTCAAAGGTCCATGGCCAGAGAGCACTGTCCTTGTCCTATCTGGTGGTTCACTGACAGCCTATCTTTATTTGACTTCAGTCAAAGCTCACCAGTGTAAAAAGCCTCTTCTCTGAGGGTGTTTGTCAAAAATTGTCAAACCAATTATAGGCAACTGCTTCACATCACAGCTGCCGGAGGCAGTGAAGAACTGTTGGGGCCAAAAATAGACTAACCATAAAGCTGAAAAGGGGAATTGGGGAAATGAGGGTTCTGTAGGGGCTTTAAGAAGCACTAACATATCCCTGGGAGTCTGGGTGGCCATATGCATGCATACGGGGGTGAGCATGCTCAGGGAAAAGCCAGGAAGGCCCTGAGCTCTTGCTGATGTTGCGGCCCTTTGCAGGCAGGAAGGCAGGGTGGGCACCACCCAGCTGGGTACTGAAGTGTTACTGGAGCCATACAAGAAGGGCCACCCAGGGGAGTGTTATCCTCCCAGCCAAACCTAGCTGGAAGCCAGCTGGTAAGGGAATCCAGGATTGACCCAGAAATATAAGACAAAAGTATCCACAGAGGTAGGGCTAGCTCTTGCCTTGAAGGCATTTATCAATCAAGATGAAAATGGTAGCAAAGCTTCTTTTGGAAGACTGTCAGAGCGAGCCCAGGGAAAAGTAAATCAAAACCCACAGAGAAACAAAATGCCCAGTGGTTGCCAGAGACTTGGTGGGGAGCGGGTTGAGGAGGGGGGGTGGCAATTGGCTGCAAATGACAACAAGGGACTTTGGGGAATAAAAAATATTTCCTATCTTGATTTTGGTGTTAAATAATTGCATATTTTTCAAATCTCATTCAACTGTGTACTTAAAGCAGGTGAATTTTCTTGTATGTTTGTAATGTTAATATACCTCAATTAACTAGACTTTAAAAAGAGGAAGAAAAGAAAAATATTCAGCTTTTCTCTCTTCCTGCCCTTCATCCTCTGCTGACCTAATCTGGTCAAAAACCAGCCATTAGGCTGCTTTCCTGATAGGATCTGTAGAGGTGACCTTCTTGGGCAACAGAGAAAGGCAAAGACTGGATTAAGGGGTGGGGAAACAGAAGACAATCAGCACAGGAGGTCTTGTGGAAAACAACAGTAAACTATTTTCTCCTCGCCAGAGGATAGGACTTCTGGTGGGAAAACCAGGCCTCTCGTAGCTGGAGCTGTCCAGAGTGGGTCAGAGGGCTCATGACTTGTATGGAAAGGTGCCAAATGGGAGTTTGAGATGGGATTCCTCCGCTATCTGGGAAGAAGACCCTCAAATTCTCTTACTGGATTCTGAAATTACCTCTACAAACAATCCTGTGCTGGATAAAGTCCTTAAAATCATGTTGTTGTTGTTTTTTAAGTTCTTCAATAATATTAAGTGTTCTAGCTAAATTGGTGATGTTTTCTGTGATGTGATTTTTAATAATGTTATTTCAAATTCTATTATTGCATTGTTGGTTCTAATAAGCAGAATTCAGACCATAACATGGAAAAAGCTTATTTTTTTTCCTTAGCTGCCCACTTGGGGGATATTATGTCATTTGAAAACCGCTAACAAAATGAGTCCACGCATACCTCACCTGATTCCAGCGCTCAATTTTAAAAGGAAATTTACATTTCTGTGGTGTACTTTTTTTTGGCCACGCTTAATCCTTTAACAAAGAAAAAGACTGCCTCTAATGGAAAGAATCGGGAGACTGGAACCGCGGCCTCACAGTGTTCTCTCCCTTTTCTCCCCTTCCAGGAGGACACCAGTTAGTTTTGTGGCTTACTGCTGCTCCGCCCAGTGCCTGCAGACGTTTGACCTACTGAGTTGATAAACACTCAAGAGCCTCAGGAGTTTTGCCAACTTGACACTGCAGTTGCCTGCATATCGCACACTGTTTGTGTGGCAGAGGGACGGGACAGTCCAGCCTAGCGGAACAGGCCCTCACATCCTGTCCTGTCGAGGGCGGGGGGCGGGGGGGGGACTGCAGAACTCTCTGGAAATGTCATGAGTGAGCTTCAGAGCTGACATGCCTTCCCCCTTCCCCCCCCAAGTTGGAATATATCCTCCCACAAATTAAGGACCCTTTGTCTTCTGTGTTTTTCTTTTCATGTGAGTGTGTCTCATAAGCAAACTATTAAGTGTGATGTGCCTCCCCAAATCTTGAAAGCCAAGTTTCTGTTTCCTGAAGAACTCTAATTTGATAACAGAGCCAAATTAACTTTTGAACACATATACCTTCAAGATACTTTTATTCTTTTCCTCTCTTTTTTTTATCCAAGGAATTATTTCCCCCAGAGATTATCCTCCCATGTTTTTGCCAAAGTTCAGCAAACTCTGTGGCCTCCATAATATTGAATAACAGGCCCTCGGATGGGGGGGGGGGGGGTCAGGGTGGGAGGAACCTGAGTTGGCAGCCAAGTTAGACTCCAGTGGAGGCCCTGCTAGGGCCCTAACATACACCCTCCAGAAAGTTACAACCCTGTTTGTAAGTTTTGCAACACATTAAGAGAGCTTTGTGAGGGTTTTTAATATAGTTCACATTAAATATTTTGGTCAACGTACATACCACCACAGTGCAAGGCGGGTCCATTTCATGATAAATGAAATACACTCTTATTTTGAAAGGCTATTTCGAAATGATTTTTTTTTTATATGAGAAGAGTTAGAAGAATATTTGAGGCTTTACAAGATCTGATCTTCTTTCTAGATTTAAACATTTTTCTGGCTAATGAGAAAGGGAGAGATAAAACACATCAAAATATGTCCTCCGGTGCTTCTTCCTAGATGCGCTTATGATTAAATTTATATTAACTTTGAAATATTTTTGTTACATGTGAAAAACAGGCCCCAGCTACTTCTGCTCCCAGTTTTTCACCAGGTGATTCTAAGTACAACCTGTGCACATTTATTTAAATACCTGGTGCATTAGATTATCTTCATTTTGACCCTAGATTTCTTATGTACGTAACACACTATTGTCCAGATACCACTGAGAAAATACAGAAAAATTGCAGGTCCAAATTGAGCCTTGGACTTTAAAAAAAAACACAAAAAAACCATAAATGGAAAGTCTGTGAGCTTATTCTCTGACAGAAGAAATGCTCTTAATGGAAGAGCCACATATTTGCTCTTCCTTTGAAAGGAGAGCATTTTAATGTGGCTTTGCTGCCAGATGTTCATCTGGTTGCTGCGAAGCGATTCTTTTTTAATTTTAATTATACAGAGTTTTCTGTAGCGCAGAACTAAAAGGGGAACCAAGAAGACTTACTTGGTAGGAAAACGATTTCCAAAAAATTTCAGACTTGTCAAAAACTCGGTCTCTGGAATTTTATTAGCTGCCCTAAATCTGTAATGCTAAGCTCTAACAGTGCTAAAAATCCTACACGGTTCCTGACGAATGTGTGATCTTTTCAGTCACACCACCTGCTGCCCGGAAAGCAGACTCCCTCCCTGTAGAATGGTGAAGACAGAATGTTACCGTGTGTTCCCACTGCATTTCCACTGTTCTTCCTTCCTCTTGTCCCTTTCATAGCTTGGCCTGGTCAGCCCTCACATTTCAAAGGCTTTTAGTATAATAGGAACTGAAGATCTATATCAAAATATAACACTTCTTTCATCTTTGGGATAACTGAAGTTTTAGCGTAACCTCTACATGGATATAAGTTGGCAACGGAAAAATGCGGCATGAAACTTGACAAATGTCACTGGGGCCTGAGTGGCGGCTGCCTTCTCATTTAAGCGACAGTAAACACACCGCAACATCTTCTGTTTCGCCCTCAATGATCCTATGTCTTAAAAATGGAGCTCTGAAAGGTGCTAACCCAATGTTCAGGAGGCTTGATGAGGTAAGGAGACGTAATACTTCTGCCTTAACTTGTTTGAAACTTTACAAAGACGCTCAAACAGTCCGAGCATCCTCTCTGTACCCATTATGTACAGTGCGCATTCACCAACCTTTTAGGGCAGTCTCAATCTCAATCCTCGGTGCAGCACCCAGCCTAACTGATGAGAAATGGAATTTGTAATCTGGCTTCTTCCTGGGTGCTGTTGATTATGAAAAATTTTGTATCGCAGTCGCTGTCATTCTGAACCCTCTGATACTCTAAAGGAATGTTGGAGACTGGAGAAAAGTGGCCCATGTGCTACATCTTTGAATTGAGTCCAGAGCTTTGCAGAAAACTCTAAAGTTAGTATGTATGTGTTTTCTTAAGTAACAGGTATACTAGGTGGAGAAATACTTTATGCAATTATAGGAATGCAAAAAAAAAAAAAAAAGGTGACTTACTTGGAAAATATAGTCTGTTCGGGTAAGTTTACCTCAGTAATCTGAGGTGTGGCTTCACGTGGGGCTCAAACTCATGACCGAGATCAAGACCCGAGCTGAGGTCAAGAGTCAGACGCTTAACGGACTGAGCCACCCAGGTGCCCCTTAATGGTAAATTTTTAAATCTAGGATACCCTGATGGGTATAGGCCTTCTTATGACACAGTGCAAGGCGGGTCCATTTTAAGTGGATTACCCTATCAGTGTTCTTCAAAATGTCTAAGTGTTATCACACCAAAATCCTTGATTACATAACATTGTGTAGATGAGATGTTGCATCTTCAGCAAATAAAATATATATTTTGAGCACACTTTAAAAACTTTTAGGGGCGCCTGGATGGCTCAGTTGGTTAAGCGGCTGCCTTCAGCTCAGGTCATGATTCCAGAGTCCTGGGATCGAGCCACACATCGGGCTCCTTGCTCTGCGGGGAGCCTGCTTCTCCCTCTGCCTGCCGCTCCCCCTGCTTGTGATCTCTCTCTCTCTCACTATCTCTCTCTGTGTCAAATAAATAAAATCTTTAATAAATAAATAAATAATAAAAACTTTTAAAACAGAAGAGCTCTGGCTGGTGGATGATCCACTCTGGTTAATAGAGAAGAGTGATGACCTCCTTTGTTATCTGGCCCTCCTCTTCCAGAAAAGTGAGGTTCACATTAAATATCTTGGTCAACGTACATACCACTCCCTAAAACCTTTCACATCTGGCTTGTCTGACTAATTTAATGTGCATCTCACTTCTTTTCCACATTTAGCATTACGAATTAAAATGTTTACAGTCAGAAAAATGACCTGAACGTCAATTAGCTATGAGGCTTTGCATATAGGTTTTCCTAAAATACATACCTATTTTGTAATCTCTGGGGACTTTGACAGCCAGCTTAAAAAATTATTAATAGTAAAATTAGGTTTCTCTTTCCTGAATTGAAAAATCAAACATTTTTATCTTTACTGCAGAAAGCTTAAAATGATGCATTACTTTAGCAGAAGTCAAAACATTTTTATTCAGATGATTTATGAACATGGATTCCTAACTGGGCCAACACTAATGCAACCTGATGTAATTAAATATTGAGATGTAAATTCATTTCACAGACTTGTAAACATACTCTTTTGAGGAATCTTATTTAAATACGTATCCTTACATAACCTTGGCCATTTTACTATGCTTTTATTATTTTTGTGGTTTCCACTGACTCCTGCTTACTCCTAATGAGGTTCTCCTAACATTTCTCCAGGAATTCAGTGAATATCTTGCTTGCCTTCTCTTAAACAGAGGGAATTTTTTATAAAGTCTGTATTTTTGGAAAATAGCTCCATGTCTATTTACAAATCATTCAAGTCTCACTGTCCCTACCCAGAAAGTACCTCCCTGTGTCATCAGCTAATAGAACTGAATGTAATGCAAATGTCTCTAAACAAGGGACTAATCATAGCTCAGTGACTGGTATCCTTGGTCAGGAAAAGAGATTGCTTTACAGCTTAAGATGTTCTCTTTGAAGCATGACTCTATGGTCCCTCGTACTTTGGAGACACAGAAGTACTGGCTGCCCAGTATGGTGGCTGGACAGAAGGTAGAGCATTTAGAGGTCATTTCTATATGTAGTTAAGAGACGTGCAAGGATTGACAAGTTTTTGGGTTTTTTTTTTTTCCATTCACCTTACAGTAGAGTGTGGAGTATTCTTGCTACCTGTGTTAAAGAATATCAGGTTTTGTTTCTCATATGATTTTTGAGACTAATAATCCATGATTGATCAATCTATCTTCCTTCCTTTTTTTTTTTTTTTTTTGCATAATGAAAGGATTTTTTAAAACTCTGAGTCTGTCTACTGCAAAACTATGGCAGTATTCACTTGGCCTGTGGACATTTGCTAAAACTCATATTGTATCCAGTTTGGTTGTTCTCACAGCTATTTCTGTTTATAGAATAGTTGAGCTTGAATCATGTGGATGCCTAGAAATGTTGATGATGGTGGCTTCATTGTTTTAGCCAGATTAATTTTGTTAAAAATAAAAGGGCATTAAATGCTTAAAGCCAGCAAAAATGATGGAGTAAGGACCTCCAAAAATTCTCCCCTCCATAAAAGCAAGGAGGAAATTGTCAAAACATGTCAGAATCAACTTTTTTTCAGAACTCTGGAAATTAACCAAAGGTTTACAGCAATCCAAGGAATATTTATTCAAGAGAAGTAGCTGAATCTCAGTAAGAACAGTAAGAACATTCTCATTTGCCCATTTTCCATCCCACCCCCCAACTCTGCTGTATTCTTGAAAACCAACAATCTACAATCAACGTAGAAGCACCTGCATAGAAGCCACTGGAGGGGACAAAAGGGGGTTAGAGCTCCTTCAAAACCTCATTTCCAGAGAATTGTCACTATTTAACTTGTCTGGTGACTCCCTGAAAGATCTCATTTGCAAGGCTGTCTTTATTTTGCCTGAGCAGAGCTTGCTGGGTGTGAAAAGCCTCTTCCACAAGGACATTTATTTAAAAAAAAAAAAAAAAAAAATCAGAGGTGGGGCACATGGGTGGCTCAGTTGGTTAAGTGTTTGCCTTTGGCTCAGATCATAATACCAGGATCCTGGGATTGAGACCCACGTCAGGCTCTCTGCTCAGCGGGAGCCTGCTTCTCCCCCTCCCTCTACCTGCTGCTCCCCCTGCTTATGCTCTCGTGCTCTCGCACTCTCGCTCTCTATCAAATAAGTAAATAAAATCTTAAAAAAAAAAAAAAAATCAGAGGCAGTTGTGGCTGCC